AATCATTAATTCGTCTGGGCCGATCAAGGAGGTCAAGTAGTTATCTGTTTAGCTAATGTTGGTTCTACAGCTCCTATAAGTACTTGTTGCTGTTACTCTGCTATCTAGACATACAACTTGCAAGGTTTAAATGTAGTGGGTGGCAGCGAGTCACAGCAAATTTTCTATCGTGTAAAATTGTTCAAAACCAACTTCATATTTTCAAAGCTCGCAGACATGTTACTCATTTGTAAGTCGAGCGTGAAAATTTTCCCCAACATGTCGGTAAATAGTCATTATGAGATGCCTTGGTGTTTCAGCAGTTGTGTGCACAGTGAAAGCTCCATGTTAATTCTGATTGTATTTAGCTATATTATTTTCATTCTTCATGTTGTAAGGCACGTATGATTTGATTAGAAATCTTAATGTTTTGTCGAAGAGGAAACAGTAGAAAGTATCAACCGCAGCAGCATAGAAATCTGCATGTTTATTCTTAGATGATGATGCACTTTATTTTCCAGGTTCCAAAAAGACGATGAGCAAGATCTTGAAAAATTTGGTGCAGTTATATGCATCCTTCTCCACAGAAGTAATCCCTGTATTGTTGGAGTTTCTTCTTAAGGTTGTCAACTCTTCTGACATGTTTGAGCTTCCGCAAGAAATCCATTATCCACATGGTAATCGGACTTTGCTGGATGACTGGATGCTTCTGATGACAAAATTAACAACCAGGGAACCAAAAATGCTTCTGGACCTTCTCAAGGCAGTCCTTGATATGATTGAAACAGAAGCAAGCAACAGTGAAACTGGTAAGTGTTGAACATTTAACATACCTTGCTGTCTTTGGGAAAAAGTATTAATTTTTGCATTTTCTTCGATAGATATATATGGTTTAGGATTAGGAGTTGAATTTCTGTTCTTACCCTTCTTCCATGGTCCATGCCAACCAAGAACTAAAAGGTCATGATTTGATACCTACCTTCGGCTTCCCCTACTTACCCTTTAAACTGCAGGGTTGGGGACTTCGGTCTTGCTTCTTGATAGTTCTTCTAGATCCTTCCCTGGTTGACACAATTATGTCGGTTGTTTATTTTGGGTACCAAGAATCTTTTCTTTGCCTACGAGTCGACGATTTTCATCTTTTATCTGCTGATACAGCTGTAGTTTTCCTCCCAGTTTTGGTTGCACATCTTGAAGATTGCTAGACTACATATTTCTTTTTCTGGGTGAAACCTCAACTGCTTGCTGATCTAGTTTTTTGCTCAAGTTGGAACATCATAATAACCTACTTGGTACAACTGCAAAATATTGAATTCAGGATTACTTGGGTATGAACTCTCACTGTGGGCTGCATCTGTACAATTCTTCTGCTCTAGGAAGAATTATATAATGTCCAAAATTGCAACTCATGGTCTTCACTACATCAGAAAGACATATGCCAACTTTAATTGTTTGTTTCTCCTTTAATTTTTCCCTCTTTCAGGAACGGAAGATTTGATGCCGTCCCGACATAGAGTAAAGACCTATCAAATTGCACCCCTCTCCTCTTTGTTTGCATGGCTTGTTGCCATATTGAAGGAACTGAAGTCTTTCCAAGACATTGATTCTTCTTCTGAAACTGAAGTTCTTGTCGCACGGAGAGGTACATCCAGGGAATTGCTGATGGGTATCCTGCATAAAAGTCTTCGGGTTGGAGCTCTGGGGAACAAACAGCTCATGGACTCTGCCATTCAGATCTCAGAGGTCATCGGGAACAATTCTTTGGTGAACAAACTTAACAAACTCTGTTTGTTTTCAGTCACAACTTTGGATATCATCAATGGAAGCTCTTGTAAGATGAGTTCTGCGACATTTGCTGAGCAAGAAGACTGCCTCCGACTAGCTGCTCAAAAGCTAGAGTTGGTCAGACTTGGTCGAGCGAAGAGCAAAGCTTCGAGCCCGACAAACGCTGATGGACACAATAAATGCAGATGGGCTGTTGCCAAATCGTGGAACCCATGTCCAATAGGCACGTTGCCGCTCGACTTTGGGTTCTCTGGTCGTCTTCCTGTCCTTGATTGTGAAACGGGCGAAGCACCGGAAGCCGTAGATAGAAACTCAACAAGGGAACTGAATCTCTGTGCTCGGAAGAGAGAAGCGAGCTGCGATGCCGATTCTTTGTGCGACTCGAGGAATAAGAAAATGAGGGAGGCGGTGGCGGATTGCGAATCGGAAGATGCGGTTGCGCCCGGAGGTGTCGGTGGCTGTTTGGTGATGGGCGGGGTGTGGAAGAAGGTTGGATTAGAAGAGCTAGAAGCCATCAAGTCATCTATCAGGATTTTAGTTTGATCTGTATCCCTTTGTTGATGATGTAGCCTTAATTTACGGAAGCTCGAAAACAGGAAATGCTTTTTACAGTTTATATTGTTTCGTTTTTTGAATCCTGGGTTTGTTTGGCCGAAGCACAAGGTGAAATGAAGTGCGAGATCAATTTTTCAGTCTACATCTTAAAGAGAACAACTGATAGAAATCGGAGGGGCGTCAAGTTTCTGCATTTTCTTTGATAGCTCCTGAGTGCACTTCGACCACGAGGGAGTACAACCGATAGAAATCATAGATCCTGTGTATGGAATGCATGCGAGTGTTAAATCTTTCGATCGGTTAAATAAAATCTTGAACATCAAGTCCTTTTGATGAAAATTACCTAAAATTATTTATTTGTTACTCAGGAAGTACTTATATTTTTAAGTTGCAGTTTGCCATATAAGTTTAGCTTTAATTGCACATTTTCTATGAAAGTGGACTTTCATTCTCTGACCCGAAAAAAAGAGAAAATTTTATTATTCGAGTATACAATCTTCCAAAACCCCAAAAAAAAACCCAAAGTTCAATTGAGTATTAAAACCTACAAAAAGTGCAATCAAATCCTAAATGTGCATTTGAGTTCTTCCGTTAATTCCGTTTAATTTGGCTAACTAGAAAATGTTGACGTGATTTTTTTTTTATTTTCTCTCTGCTATGTGGCGATGACGAGCCTAAAACATGAAACATAATGCTAAAAAGACTTCGTTTTGGTCTAAATCTAATTTTTAATACAAATTCTATTCAAATTAAATCTTAAAATAAGCCAAATTTAAAATAAATAAATAAAAGGGAGAGGTGAGAAACCAAGCGGTGAGGGCTATCACCGCCCCATCATCATCGGGAAGGGTCGACGAGGGCAGGGAATGGCTAGCAAGGGTCGTTGAGCCTTGGCCAATGACCGGCAACCTTTGCTAACAACAGGCAAGGTAGAGCATTTTATGTAGGGGTACAATAAAATGCACTTTGGTACAATTTCTCGTACTCAATTTGATAAACCTCTTTATTAATTTTTATTGTCTCTCTCTATATTACCAACAAATATCTTCACGGTTGACCGATTAATTCAAAAATGATTTCGGCAACTTTTCTAATCAGGGCACACCTAAAGCTGACTCTAGCCTTTTGCATTTGTATCGAAACAAATCACCATTCTCAACTTAAGACCGTATTGGCTATACCGTAATGCGCATCTTCATGCACAATCGGCCTTCCCTTAGAGCAACCGCGATGGCAATTTCGCTTGGCAAGCACGCTGGTCATGGGATTCCATCCCTAATTTAAAATAAAATCCATGAGCATATCCAATTCAGATAATTTTTCCTTAAAAGTAAGCGCTCCAAATCATATCGGTTCTCCCAAACTCCAACGATCTCTACTCCAGCATCGTTCCATTTCACAAGGCTTAGGATGACCCAAAGTTTGTCCGGAAGAAACTATGCTGTCAGCAACCCTTTTTCTCCATCCTTTCGACCAAACCGTTTCTGCTCAACTACAGCAACAAACGATGACAAGAAAGACATTAGATTTGTCCATCCTTAACCTGTGATTTGGCACATTAGATTTGTCATTTCTAGGGGACTTTTACCGATACTCAGATGGTACAAGGGCGTTTATTCCTGTCTAGACATCGTATGGTGAATTTCCTCCTATTTGATTGGCCCGCTGTACCATTCTCGCCGTACTTCTTTCCATAAGTAAATCGAGCATATTGATTCTCTCGTATTTAAATTCCAATCATATCCATGATCCAAAAGAGCAAGTCTCGCAATGCACCAGCCGACATTTGACGGCCGGGTTCATGTGGTGGTTCGAAATTTTTCGAGTCCCTGCTCTCTTAGTTACCATAGTGACCGATCTCATGTAGTAAAAAGAAATCGAAAAATTTCCAAATAAGGGCATATGGTGGATCTTGTTTTAAATAAGGGCATAAAGTGTCATTATTTTCTAAACAAAGGGCATGACCTTGCCAACTAATCAAGGATATTTTCATCATTTTATTTTATTTTTCCTTTTTTCCCCTTTTTTCTTTTCTTCTTTCTAGTTTCTTTTTTTTTTCTCCATTTTGAGGGCCCGGCCGGCCGCCGGCGAGGGTCGCCTCGCCCAGGCAAGGCCGTCGACCCATAGCCTCGTATAGGTGAGGCCGCCCTTGACAACCACATGCGAGGCCCGACCTCACCTGGGCGAGAGTCAACCTTGCCCGATCTGGCGAGGGTCGCCTCGCCCAGGCAAGGCTGTCGACCCATAGCCTCGTATAAGTGAGGCCGCCCTTGACAACCACATGCGAGGCCCGACCTCACCTGGGCGAGAGTCACCCTTGCCCGATCTGGCGAGGGCTGGGTGAGCGTCACCTCTCCCGCGGCCAGTGAGAGCGGCCCTCGCCCAGTGGCTGGCGAGGGCCCGGCCAGCGATGAAGTAAAAAAGAAATGGTAAAAAAGAAAATGGGAAAGAAGAAAAGAAAAAATTGAAAAAAAAATAAAATGACAAAAATGCCATTGATTAGTTCATATGGTTAGCCCTTTGAGAAAAAAAAATGGCTCAGATCCTTCTTTGAATTTTTCAACAAAAATCAAAACTTATACATTAAAATTAATTTGACAGGATGTCACAATTAGTACATTCCCATCAAGGGAAAAAAAAAATCTGGACATATAAGCTGACAAAAAGTATACCAAAACTGTCTCCTTTGTGCCCCCACCCATTTTCTCAGCTCACGGACTCGTCTTGTTCTTGTTTCAAGAATGTCTAACCGGAAGCAAAGCAACCCGCCTTCTCCGGCCACCGCCTCCTTCCTCCTCTCTCTCCTCGCCGCCGCCGCTTTCTCCTCCGCCCATGCGGCGACGGCGACATCCCAGAGCCCCATCACAACGGTGGTCGTCCTGGTGATGGAGAACCGTTCCTTCGACCACATGCTGGGGTGGATGAAGCGCCTCAACCCGGCCATCGACGGCGTCGACGGCTCCGAGTCCAACCCGCTCTCCACCTCCGACCCCAACTCCACCCGCTTCCACGTCGACGACCGCTCCCACTACGTGGACCCGGACCCGGGCCACTCGTTCCAGGCGATCCGGGAGCAGATATTCGGGTCCAACGACACGTCGGCGGACCCGCCGCCGATGAACGGGTTCGCCCAGCAGGCCTACTCCATGGACCCGTCCACGAACATGTCCAGGAACGTGATGAGCGGGTTCGACCCGGACATGGTCGCCGTCTACAAGGCCCTCGTCTCCGAGTTCGCCGTCTTCGACAGGTTCCCTCCCTCAATCCCTCTCTCTTTCCGATATCAAAACGATAATGCAGAGCGTAAGGTAATTGTCGCATATACGTTTGTTTAAAACAATAATTCTTTCTTCTCATTTCCTCGTCGAGATTAAAAACATTATTAAAAATTTTGTATGTCAATATTCAACATATTGATATACCAATGATTAGTTCAACAAATTGAGTGCAATGTCGTCACGCATCTCGAGACACCTGTGCCTTTCGCTTCTTGTTGGCGCCAGCGAACCCCACCTTGGAAAAATCTTAGCTCGCATCCGGTGCACGGGAGCCCGCATCACATGCACCGGATTAAGAGGCGGGCCTCACGTGGAACCCACCTAAAATAACGACGGCGGGTGATGTTCGGATTCGAAGTCGCCCTGTTTCTTATTTGTTTTCGTATTTGTTTTCAGATTGAAATGGTATTTTGTATTTTGACGAAAACTTGGAGAGAGAGAGAGAGAGAGAGAGAGAATATTCTTGGTTTGATGCGGGACCATAGTAGTGTTGAAGTTGCACTTACCATAAGATTAGAGCTAGAATGAGAAGGTCACTAATAAAATCTGACAAGAATTCGAGTTGAGCAGAGAATCTTCGTAGGTTTAATGGTAGACAGTGGCGACAGTGAAAAGGAATAATTGCTTTTAATTGCCCTTTTAATTGCCACTGTCAAATTCGTGTGGAGTGTTTTGCTGGAGCCTCATTGTTAAATTCGAGAAAACCATCGAATTTTCATTCCATTCGTATTTCGCGAATTAAAGCGGACCTAAAGAATAGAAAGATTATACTGATATATTGCCTAAATATTTTATTTTCGGCGGGAAAAAATTCACCATTTGGCTGATTAATATTATACATGCTACTAGGTGGTTTGCATCGGTGCCGTCGTCAACCCAACCGAACCGTCTCTACGTGCACTCTGGCACGTCGGCAGGCGCCACCAGCAACATCCCCGCCCTCCTCGTCGAGGGCTACCCGCAGCGCACCATCTTCGAGAACCTTGCCGACGCGGGCCTCTCCTTCAGGATTTACTACCAGAACATCCCCGCCGTTCTCTTCTACCGCAACCTCCGGAAGCTCAAGTACCTCTTGAAGTTCCGACCGTACGGCATCTCATTCGCGGCAGACGCGAGGCGGGGGAAGCTACCGAACTATGCTGTCATCGAGCAGCGCTACATGGACACCAAGGAGGAGCCTGCCTCCGACGACCACCCGTCGCACGACGTGTACCAGGGGCAGATGCTCGTGAAGGAGGTGTATGAGACGCTCAGGGCGAGCCCGCAGTGGAACCAGACCTTGCTACTGATCACGTACGATGAGCACGGCGGGTTCTTCGATCATGTCCCCACGCCGGTCCACGGGGTCCCCAGCCCGGACGACATCGTGGGGCCCGAGCCGTTCAACTTCCAGTTCAACCGGCTGGGTGTGAGGGTCCCCACCATTGCGGTTTCGCCTTGGATCGAAAAGGGCACTGGTACATACTCCTATCACTCTCCCATTAACTTAGAAGCATTAATTGAATTTGAATCAGCCTATTACAATGCGCGTAGATAGTAATTTCCGAGTAATTAGTTCTGTAAGCGTCCAATCATAGTAGATCACGGTGGAAAATATCTCAACATCTTGCATTAATGTCATCAAATAGGTTGGGCTCAAACTCAATTTACACTTGTGAATCGAGCTACGAATATATGATATGTCTGGTGGAGTTCAATGTGAATCCAGTTCCTAATATGTGCCGTGGAGGTGCTAGGCCACGCGTTTTCTCTTGATCAATAGCTTCAGTTTGTCATATGCAGTCTCCAGATAAAGATCCAAAGTCTACTTTTTCGTTTTTTCCTCTATTTTCTTTCGCCTTTTTCTGTCATCGGATTTAGCCTTTAAACCAGGAGGACAGATCTGGGAAAGAGACTGACCTCATTAATGGGTCACTACAATACACAATCACAAAAGAATGGTGCGCAAGTCACGCAAGCTTTTTCCTTTTGGTTTTGCTTTGGAAAAGACATAGTGAGCTGGTGGAATTTTGGACTCTGGCTGATGAACTCTCCCTTCTCTTTTCCAGCTTTTTCTTTCTCTGTCCATTTGCTCAACTTGCAATAGTAATGCTCATTATTGAAGTTTTGTCACTTTGTCTCTATTGACAAAATCACTTGAATGTGAACAGAACTTGGGTTTACTTTCACGAAAGAGATTTTCCTTCCTGAAGTTGAACTTGATAAAAAAGTGGGTGGTCCTTTAACTGCCTTTGAAATCACTAGTGTCATTCATTTAGGCCATTTGGATGCTTGTATCATCTATACCACACAGTTTGATAATGATAAACGAACTTGTCGATGAATATTACTGGAGCATCTAGTAAGCGACCGAATAAGGAAAGTTTGCAGTTTTATTTGTACACTGTTGTTCATGCTCTTATGACAAGAAAAAATTGCAGTTGTCCATGGGCCCAACGGGTCACCCTCTCCGACGTCCGAGTACGAGCACTCCTCAATCCCTGCAACAGTCAAGAAGCTTTTCAACCTCAGCGCGCCTTTCCTCACTAAGCGAGATGCATGGGCCGGCACATTCGAGGGCATCGTGCAAACACGCACTCAACCGAGAACTGACTGTCCAGGTTTGGTGACAAATGCACTGATTATTCCCACACAGGCAGAACAAAGATCAAGTCATGTATATGTTAAATGCACAATAGTGATCATTTCTCGATGCATAAGCACAGAATTTCGGAAACAACGTCATAATTAGTATTTGATGAATGGCCTAGTGCCTCCAAGTAAACACGTGTAATTTGTATTTTGACATGTCGACAGAGCAACTCCCGACTCCGGTTAAGATCAGGGAAGGCGAGGCTAAGGAAGATGCCAAGCTAAGCGAATTCCAGCAGGAGCTCTTGCAGCTCGCAGTGGTGCTGAAAGGTGATCACATTTTCACAAGTTATCCCGAGAGAGTCGGGAAGGAGATGACTGTCAAAGAAGGGAAGGAGTACATGGAGGATGCAGTCAAGAGCTTCTTTGAGGCGGGTCTTTATGCCAAGAAAATGGGTGTCGATGGAGAGCAGATTGTGAAGATGAGGCCTTCACTCACTACAAGACCATCAAAACCCTGAAACATACACCCCCGCCCCCCCCAACCTACAGATGCTATACTAAAGCAGACCAGAAATGTTTGAGCATTGTGAGTAAAAACAAAAAAAGTGAATAAAATCTAAAGTTCACCTGTAACAAAAAAGTAAGCAGCAGAGGAAGGTGATTATTGTTTGCAAGTTTTCTCGCTTCATCACAATTACACATCGCACATATTTTACAGGCTATTTGTCATTCTCTTTTGTTCTTAGGCTTTGCACAGGAATTTACAAATGTTCATCAGTTGATCCCTGTCCGACCAAACAATACCACTTTTTGTCGGACAAGAACATTCGGTCGACACAACCCTCCGAGCCTCTCAAAACGTTTGCCGCAACCGGCGCTGCAACTGTTTCATAAAGAAAAAGGAAAATAACCAGTATAACTGTACCAGCATTTTCAATAAATCTACTGTGTGGCTTGAGCTTCTTGTTTAGCTGCCCGAGACGCCAATTCTTTTCTGTCACGTTAGATCACCATAGGATCTTTTCTTAAAACCACTGGTACCTTGTGAAGACAGACAAATTGCAGGTCCGACAATCTTATTAGAAATTTAGCACTGGTATATGGAAGCAGAAGAAACTCTAAATGGTTTTCGATTAGGAAGATGATTCCAGACAAATGCTCACGATCATGCCGAGAAGTCGTATAGTCGGGTGTCTGCTGAGTGTGTTGCTCAGTTGAGGAGCAATTATAAAACTCGAGAAGCACAGTATAAGCAACGATCTAATACTAGATAAGCTCTTGTCAGGTGGAATTCAATTGAAACTTACCACACTTTCAGGAACGCCTGGTGGAGGCAAAGAAAGATTTCTCGGAGGTGGACCGCTAAGATAGGATCTCTTGTCGAAGCGCCATTCTCCAGTCTTGCCATATGTCAGCTCACCCTAAATATAAGCAACTTGGAAGTTAATATTGGATCAAAGAGTAATGAATTATGAACCTCTTTCCAACTTCTAGTTCCCATGGTGGCCATACATTTTTATGGGGAAAATTGTCTAAAAAGTACTAAACCTTTTAAGTTTGCCAATTCAGTCATAAACATTTTCACTTATTGCCAATTCACTCCTAAACATTTTTACTTCTTGTCAATTGAGTCCATCTAATCAATTTTGGCAGACCGGCGCTGGCGTGGCTGCCGGCCGAACGTGGCAATTTTTTAATTTTTTTTTTCGAATTTTTTTAATTTTTTTCTACCCTTCTTCGCTCTGGCCGGTCCGGCAAGGTCAACCTCGTCGGCCTCTGGCAAAGCTCGCCCCTGCCAGCTACTGGCGAGGGCGAGCCTCTCCCACCGCTGCCAGGCCAACCACGCCTAGCCAAGGCGAGGCCGACCTCGTCGTCGTTGGGCGAGGTGAAACCCAACGACGGTAAGGTCAGTCTCGCCCAACCAAGGTAAGGCCGACCTGCGACGGCGCTGGCAGGCCTCGCCTTGGCTAGGTGAGGCCGACCTCGCCATCACTGGGTTTCACTTCGCCCAGCAACGGAGAGGTTGGGCAACATCGTCGCAGGTCGGCCTCGCCGTCGCTGGGTTTCACCTTGCCCAACGACGGCAAGGTCGGCCTCGCCTTGGCAGCAACGAGCGAGGCTCGCCCTCGCCAGTGGCTGGCGGGGGCGGACTTCGCTAGAGGCCAGCGAGGTCGACCGCGCAGGCCTGCGCCTCTGGCCGGTTGCCAGACTGACTAGAGGGAAGAAGGCAAAAAAAATAAATTAAAAAAAAATATTTAAAAATGCTACGTTAGTGTCGGCGCCAGCCGGCTAAAATTGGCCAGATGGACTCAAATGGTAAGAAGTGAAAAGGTTTAGAACTGAATCGGCAAACTTAAAAGGTTTATGATTGAATTGGCAAAAGTGCTATAGATTTAAGACTTTTTGGACAATTTTCTCAATTTTTATCATTTGGGAACGTGTTGAGCTTATAAATTAGTGACGAGAGCCTTGTCTTTTCTCGTGACAATCGCCTGAAAGTTTCCATCTCTGACCTTTTGAGCGTAAAGCTATGCATGTTCTCGATTTCCTTTTGATGAAAAAAAGAACTTGGGAAGTAATGAAGTTCGGCATCATGAAGATGATGTTATTGATTTTAAATGAGCAAAGGTTTGGCTTTCTAGCAAACTAATTGGACACAAACATAGCATTAGCAGATTTGGCAATGGCTTTCATTTCTACAGAAGATCTCATTACTTTATTAAACCTAGCTCTCCTTGCTTTGTGACCATTTTATCTTCTTCCTGAGCTTGTGTGATTTAGCTATAACACTGATGGTCTGGACTACTAAGTTGTTCCTTTTCACACACGCCCTTAGTTGGCTAAAGTCTTAGGCTGCATTGTTTCGTTCGAGGGGCTTTGGAAAAATACAAAAGAGTTTAGCCTTTCCAAATCTTTAAATCCTTAAATAATTCATCACAATCACATTGCCTTTTGGGAAAGATATGCTTTTCCCTCTCATTGACGTCTACATGTATACATGAGTGAAAATCGGGTACTCTTATTGTCGCTCTTCAGTAATTTCGATACCATAAGGATCGTCAAAGTAGGAAGCAATATTCTTATCAGGGGCACTTCTACAAATCGTCAAGGATCGAATTCTAATCGGTGATAGTAGATCACAAGCAAATGAATTTCAACTATATGTCGAAAACTTTTGAAGTATTTATGAGTTAGGGCATTTTAGGTAGGGGTATGATAAAACGCAATTTGGTACAAATTTTCCGTGCTCAATTTGATATCCCTCTTTATTAATTTTCACCGTCTCTTTCTCCCTCTATATTACCAACAAATATCTTGGTGTGTCATCGGTTAATTCGGAAAATGATTATGACAACTTTTTTTATTCAGGCACACCTAAAGCCGACACGGGCTTTTTGCTTCAGCACCAAAGTAAATCATCATCCTCAAAAGTCATGATCATATTTTTATACCGTAACGCGCGCCTTCACCCATGATTGCCCCTTCAGTTAGAGCAACCATGATGGCAATTTTGCTTGGCGCAAGCACGGTGATTATGGGATTCCACCCCTCGTTTAAGATTCAATAACGTCGATCCACGAGCACGTTCGATTGAGTTTCTCTTTCCTCACAAATTTAAAACCAATAAATTATGGACGATCAACTAAAATATTTTAACTGCTTCCAATTACATCGAATCCTCCAAACTTCGATTTCCTACTTAGGACGACCCAAAGTTTGTCCGGAAGAAACTATGGTGTCAGCAGCCTCTTCTCCATCCTTTCAACTTCAAACTTTTCTGCTCGACTATAACAATAACACGATGACAAAAAAGACGAGACCTTAACCTGTAATTTGGCACATTAGATTTGTCACGTCTAGGGGGACTTTTCCCGATATTCGCTGATCCGTTTCGGCCATTAGACCATGCGGGTCTCGAAGGTGAAAGACGCATTAGCATTTGACGGCCGGAAATGAAGCGGGTTCACATTATCCGAGTTCGTGATTTTCAATATATGCTCTCTTTAGTGATCTCCTGTGGTTAAAAAAAAAGTCAAACTTGTCCATCAAATTAAATTGACACCATCTCAATTATAATTGCATCCCCATCAAGACCCATCTAAAGATATTTCATTACGTCGCGCAACCTAATCAAAGCCTCCCGAAGCAGCTCACAACTCCCCTCGCTCTCTCTTCAGCTTCGAAATCCGAAGAAGAATTCCATCTTTTTGTTTCCAGAATGCTCACTAGGAAGAAGAGCAATTCGCTTTCTCCGACCGCCCCCTTCGTCCTCCTCTCTCTCCTCGCCGCCGCCGCCGCCGCCGCCGCCGCCACCGCCTCCTCCGCCCATGCAGGGACGACTGCCCAGAGCCCCATCCGGACGGTGGTTGTCCTGGTGATGGAGAACCGGTCCTTCGACCACATGCTGGGGTGGATGAAGCGCCTCGACCCGGCCATCGACGGCGTCGACGGCTCCGAGTCCAACCCGCTCTCCACCTCCGACCCCAACTCCACCCGGTTCTACTTCGACGACCGCTCCCACTACGTGGACCCGGACCCGGGCCACTCGTTCCAGGCGATCCGGGAGCAGATATTCGGGTCCGACGACGTGTCGGCGGACCCGCCCCCGATGGACGGGTTCGCCCAGCAGGCCTACTCGATGGACCCGTCCAAGAACATGTCCAGGGACGTCATGAGCGGGTTCGATCCGGACATGGTCGCCGTCTACAAGGCCCTCGTCTCCGAGTTCGCCGTCTTCGACAGGTTTCCTCCCTCAATCCTTCTCGAACGATAATGCAGACCGTGAATAATTGGCAAGTTTATGTTTGTTTCACATGAAAAAAAGGTCAAAAAGTTTTAAGAAATTATAGAATAATTACGTGCCAACTTATATGTCGATATTCATCATATATTTATGATTATTAAGTTCAGCAAATTGCATGCATGCAATGTTGTCGCGTATCTCAAGACAACTGTTGCCTTCTCTCTTTCTGTTGGCGCGAATGGAGCCACATGGGTTTCTGCGCCGGGTTTTTACCTAGGAAAAATCCTTGTCGCATCCCGGTCGCACGTGGGCTCGATCCACATGCACCGGCGTAAGAAGGCATGTGGATCGAGCCTCACGTGGAACCCACCCCATATAATGGCGTCGGGTGGATCGTTCGGATTCGAAGTCGCCTTTCAATTTTTTTCCCGTAATTATTTTTAAGGCTCCGTTTATTTCGTGAAAAAATAAATAATTTTAAAGAAGAATTTTTTTAAAATAATCGCTTGCATCGCTTGAAATAATCAGTTAATAAAAAATATCATCATCATCGACAATAATTTATGTCCAAATATTATCGTGAACGGTGAAAATACTCTCTGTTTATTCATTTTTGTACGATAAATATTTTCGAAATCATTCATTTTCTGTGAAGTAAACGGAACCTCTTATTAAGGTGTTAAGTATATTTCGATGAAAACTTAGAAGTGGGAGAGAGAGAATATTCTTGGTTTGATTCGGGACCATAGTGTTGAAGTTGCACTTATTATAAGATTAAAGCTAGATTGAGATGGCCATTAAAAAATGTCTGACAAGAATTCGAGTTTAACAAAGAATCTTTTCGTAGGTTTGATTAATGGTAGGCCTCGACAACGAAAAGGACGTGCTTTAATTGCCACTGTCAGATTCATGTGGGAGTGTGTTTAGTCAAGCTTAATTGTTTCATTCGTCCAATAATCTAGCCTCAATTTCACAAATTTTCCGTTAATATATCGCCTAAATATTTTATTTTAGGCGAGAAAAAATTTCGCCAATTGGCTGATTAAATCGTACACATGCACTGCTAGGTGGTTCGCGTCCGTGCCAACGTCGACCCAGCCGAACCGCCTCTACGTGCACTCTGGCACGTCGGCGGGCGCCACCAGCAACATCCCCGCCCTCCTCGTCAAGGGCTACCCGCAGCGCACCATCTTCGAGAACCTTGTCGACGCCGGGCTTTCCTTCGGGATATACTACCAGAGCATCCCGACGACGCTCTTCTACCGCAACCTCCGGAAGCTCAAGTACCTCTCCAAGTTCCACCCGTACGGCCCCTCCTTCGCGGCGGACGCGAGGCGGGGGACCCTCCCGAGCTACGCCGTCGTGGAGCAGCGCTACACGGACAGCAAGCTGGAGCCCGCCAACGACGACCACCCGTCGCACGACGTGTACCAGGGGCAGATGTTCGTGAAGGAGGTGTACGAGACGCTCAGGGCAAGCCCGCAATGGAACCAGACCCTACTAGTGATCACGTACGATGAGCACGGCGGGTTCTTCGATCATGTTCCCACGCCGGTCCGTGGGGTCCCCAGCCCGGACGGCATCGTGGGGCCCGAGCCGTTCAACTTCCAGTTCGACCGGCTGGGAGTGAGGGTCCCCACCATTGCGGTTTCGCCTTGGATCCAGAAGGGCACTGGTACATTTCCTTATCACTCTCCCATTAACTTGGAAGCGTGTGATTGAATGTGAATCGGCCTATTAGAATGCCCGTGGATAGTAATTTCCGAGTAACCAATTATGTAAGCATTCAATCGTAGACCACGATGGGAGATGTCTCGAAATCTCGCATTAACGTCCTCAAATAGGTTGAGCTCAAACTGAATTTACACTTATGAATCGAGCTACGAATATATGTTGTGCTTGGTGGAGTTCAATGTGAATCCAGTTCCTAATATGTGCCGTGGAGGTGCTGGGCCACGTATTTTCTCGTGATCAATAGCTTCAGTTTGTCATATGCAGTCTCCAGATATGATCCAAAGTCTACTTTTTCCATTTTCCTCTTCTTTCTTTCACCTTTTTCTGTCGTCGGATTTAGCCTTCAAACCAAAAAGGACAGATTTTGGAAAGAGATCGACCGCATTAATGGGTCGCTACAATACACAATCACAAAAAGAACGGTGTGCAAGTCACGCAAGCCTTTTCCTATTGGTCTTTGCTTCGAAAAAGATATAGTGAGCTGATGGATTTTTGGACTCCGGTTGATGAACTCTCCTCCTTCTCTTTTCCAGCCTTTTCTTTGTCCATTTGCTGAGGATGTCAACTTGCAATAGTGATGCTCATTATTGAAGTCTTGTCACTTCATCTCTATTGACAAATCTCTGTAATGTGAGCAGAACTTTCCTTTACCGAAAGAGATTTCCCTTCCTGAAGTGCACTTCATACAAAAAAGTGGGTGGTCCTATAACTGCTTTGAAGTCACTAAAGTCATTCCCCTAGGCCATATGGATGCTTCTATCATCCATACCACACAGTTTGATAACAATTACAAAGGACTTGGTTAATGAATACTTCGAGAGCATTCATTAAACAAACGAAGAAGGAAAGTTAACAATTTTTCTGTGCACTGTTGTTCATGCTCTTGTGACAAATTGCAGTTGTCCATGGGCCAAAAGGGTCGCCCTTTCCGACGTCCGAGTACGAACACTCCTCCATCCCTGGTACGGTCAAGAAGCTTTTCAACCTCAGCGCGCCTTTCCTCACTAAGAGAGACGCATGGGCCGGCACATTCGAGGGCATCGTGCAAATACGCACTCAACCGAGAACTGACTGTCCAGGTTTGGTGACAAATGCACTGATTATTCCCACATAGTCAGAACAAAGATCAAATCATGTATATGTTAAGTGCACAATATTGATCATTTCTCGATGTATAAGCACAGAATTTCGGATACAACGTCATAACCAGTATTCGATGATTGGCCTAGTGCCTTCAAGTAAACACAAGTAATTTGTATTTTTAACATGCCAACAGAGCAACTCCCGACTCCGGCCAAGATCAGGAAAGGCGAGGCTAAGGAAGATGCCAAGCTAAGCGAATTCCAGCAGGAGCTCTTGCAGCTTGCAGCCGTGCTGAAAGGTGATCACATTTTCACAAGTTACCCCGAGAGATTCGGGAAGGAGATGACCGTCAAAGAAGGGAAGGAGTACATGGAGGATGCAGTCAAGAGCTTCTTTGAGGCGGGCCTTTATGCCACAAAAATGGGTGTCGATGGAGAGCAGATTGTGAAGATGAGGCCTTCACTCACTACAAGACCATCAAAACCCTGAAACATACGCCCCCCAACATGCAGATGCTATACATAAGCAGAGGAGAAATGTTTGAGCATTGTAAAAGAAAAGGATAATAAAATCTAAAATTCACCTGTAACAAAAATGTGAGCAACAGAGGAAGGTGATTATTGTTTGCGAGTTTTCTTGCTTCATCACAGTTGCACAGGTGATAGCACATATTTTACATGCTATTTGTCATTCTCTTTTGTTCTTAGGCTTTGCAGAGGAACTTACAAATGTTCATCAGTTCATCCCTGTCCGACCAAACCATACTGCATTGTGTCCGACAAGAACATTCTGTTGACACAACCCAGAGAGCCTCTCAAAACTTTGGCCACGACCGGTGCTAAAAACTGTTTTAAACAGAAAAAGGAGAATAACCAGTATTGAATAATTGTCCCAGCATTTTCAATAAATTTATTGTGCGGCTTGAGCTTCTTGTTTAGCTGCCCGAGCCACCGATTCTGTTCTGTGATGTTAGATCACCGTAGGGTCGTTCCTCAAGACCACTGGCAAAAAATTGCAAAAGGAGGATATGTGCAGTTCTGTATTGATTTTCACATGGCAGGTTAGCTTCTGTTTATCGTTTCCCACCTGGGAATATTAGCAGTGGCCTCATTTACCATCTTCACCAGTCGGACCTGCAAGAAAATTTGACAAGGAGAAAAAGTGAGAGAGTGTCGCCTTCCCATCCGGTTGTTGTAAAAAATGGGATATAGACCTCAATGCACACAAGTTTAATATCTTATAGTAGAAATGGAGACCTTGCCTACACAAAGTAGATAATGATTCCAGCTTCCACAGCTGTTTAAGATCACAACCCAGAAAGACAACGCAGAGAGTGACATGTTAAGTCCCAACAATATAAACCGTATTGCCATATTTATGATCACAGGCCATTTAGTAATGATGAATTGACTCAACAGCCTAAAAAGCATGAAGGATCACAGCAAGCATGCCATCGATTGCCTATTTTTGGTTTTGAAGCCTTTTGAGAAAGAGTCATTAGCTTATTAAACTGCGTATGCAATATTAGCAGTTAATCTCAGGGCCCTTTAGATAATGAAAAGTCCAGTAGTTGCCACTTTTTCACATTAAAAGTTGGAGAACATTTTCTAGTACCAAAACAGACAATTAAAATTATAGTTTCATCCCCTTCTGAAGCAGAGTTCAGTTCTAGGAACAATACAGAACACAAATTCCCGCACTTTGTGAAGACAGACAGATTGCAGGTCCAACAATTTTATTAGAAATTTAGCAGTGGTATATGGAAGCAGAATAAACTCTAAATGGTTTTCGATTAGAAAGCATACATCCAGGCAAATGCTCATAATCAGGCCGAGAGGTCATATAGTTGATTATCAATCAACGAGAGTGTCTGCTAAGTGTGTTGCGCAGTTGAAGAGTAATTATAAAACTCGAAAAGCACAGTATAAGCAACAATCTATACTAGATAACCTCTTGTTAGGTAGAATTCAATTGACACGTACCACACTTTCAGGAACACCTGGTGGAGGCAAAGAAAGATTTCTTGGAGGTGGACCGCTAAGATAGGATCTCTTGTCAAAGCGCCATTCTCCAATCTTCCCATATGTCAGCTCACCCTAAATGTCAACAACTTGGAAGTAAAAATTGGATCAAAGAGGATACCTCAGAAGAGTTTCCGAGAAAAACAAAAAATGAATACACAGGCCCAATTATTGATCTCTGACTTCAACTTGTTATAGAGATGCAACATAGTACAGTTGCAAGTCACACATGATAAGCATCCTGTCCTGCACCACCCACGCTCACCCCCACTATATATACATATATATTAGAGAGAGGGAGAGAGAGAGAGAGAGAGCCCTTCACCTTCATAGAATAGTCGCAGCCATAAGTGTAATGAATTATGAAACTCTTTCCAACTTCTAGATCCCATGGTGGCTGAAAACAGGTAGAATCATAGTAGTCTTTTGAGTCTGACAAATTGTTTGACATAGACCAAAAAATGCAAAGCTGTTATAGAGTATCAAAACAACCTGCAGCATGAAGTCCTTCCGAAGAATATGCTTCACCTTGTGTAAAGCAGATGCTACAGCATAAGCATACCTAGAATCAACAACTACAACTGTCAAGCAGCAGCCAGCCCAAGATCAACGACCACGCAGTACATATTCTTCAAGTTTTTGTTACTCACATCTCTAGCACCCATCCAAAGGCCTTATCGGTTTCGGGGTCGTCCTTCATTCTTAAAGAGACATTCATCCATGTAGGTGCAATTTCCTCCAAAATAGACTGGATCAAAATTTAAGAGAACATGAAATCTGAGGAATATGTAATGTCCTGACTTCTGGGAAATACCACAGAATGTATCAATACAGCTTTTGGTTCACATAAACAAAGAAAAAGAAGAGAGGGGGTAGTATATGGTCAGTGATTCCCAGTCGACCAAATTCCACTCAAACCAAACTCTCTTTCTTAGAGCCAACCTTGTGAATAATTACTGGAGAATTGCCGATGGGATCGACGTCAGTTACAGGACCCTTTTCTTTGGGGTAAAACTTTCTAATGATCTTTTCGTTGTCAGCCGGTTTGATGTAGAAGAATGGGTATCCTGCTGGGTGGCCTCCCTTTGCCAAGTTAGGTAAAGATTTTACAAATATGTGGTCCGGCTCCGCCATTAGAATATACCTGTATAATTTCAGGAATGCAAAAAACCATCAAATTTCATGACAGGAATGAACCTAACTCTTCTATAGGAACTACTTAAGAACTCACTCTTCCTCAATAGTTGCACTTTCTAGCCATTGCACAAAAGCCCACGGTCTGTTTAAGACGATATAACCCTGCAGGAAAGCACAAATGTCACATAAAAAAGTTGCAAAATTTAAAAGCTCCAACAATAGCTGCTGTCATCATCCATTCTCCATGAATTGTTCTGTGTGATGCACATATTAGTTCTTATGTCTAGTTTCTCTTTTGCCAACATAAGAGAGGATTACTTCTATGCTTAGTTACATCTTTATATCCACAACAATTGTAAGAAGTGCTCCAGTTGCCGTTAGCTTATTACCCTGAGGTAGAAGTCCAGTGCACCCGGATCAATAAAGTTTTTGTCAAGGACAGGCAATTGCATGATCATAGATATTGATAAACCCAAATTCCACATCTTTTACCAGGTCAGAGTCATTAATCCTTCTAATAACCGAGGAAGCGCACCTCGATGAGATTGAAAGGGAACAGTGCAAAAATTCAAGCACCGAGCAACAGCAACCCGCATATGCACTGAAAAACGTGAAAAAATCACACTCCCAACAAGACAATGCATTGAGATAATATAGCAGAATTTCATACTCGATCCAGTCCTTCAGGAAGAGGGTCAACCACGAAACTGGGTATCTCCTCCATCAAGTTATCAGCACTTCCCGAGTGCAGAATTCTGGTGAACTTCCCCATGTCCGATCCGGGCATGTCTTTGACCTTCTTGTACCAGTAGTACATGATCCGGCACTGCCACTGACTGTAAGGGGCATCGGTCGCCGTAACAGCAACATGGTATCGCAAGCCTCTCTTCGTCTCCCCTGTCAACTGGGTGATGGGATCGGACATTCCCAATCTGTTGGTCACGGCAGCCCCCAAGTTCGGGCTCATGTGGTGCACGACCATGCGCAGTAGATTGTAAGCGGCGAAAAGAAGTACGACTCCGAACACCACGGCGAGAGTCGAAACCCGCCTCATATGTTTCCTCTCAATAATGGGCATTCTCGAAAGAACAAAATCTAACCGAAACTAAACGGGCATGCCCCGGAAAAAGTCAGCGAAAAAGGAGGAAGACCCAAATCGCGAGACAGAGAGAGAGAGAGAGAGAGTCAATGCGAGATCAGATCTCAGGTACAAAAGCAAATCACGTCGCTTTACCTCAAGAGAATGTCAAAGCCTCTTGCTTGAGACTTGAGAGTTCAGAGAGAGGGAGAGAGAGAGAGGGAGGGAGGGAGGTTTTGGGGGAGGATTTTGTTCTTGTCTACCCTTTAGCCTCTTGAGCCCAGCCAAAAACTAAAGAAGGTGTACAGCGTCAGAGCTGACCAAAAAGAAGCAACTTTTCGATCTCTCTTTGATCGCCTTCTTTTATTTTATCGCTTGCTCTTTCGCGTTCTTCTTTTCAAGACTTTCCACAGTAGTGGAAGCCGAGAACAGCGGCCATTTTCTCATTTTTTTAAAAATTTTCCGCAAAACGATGATGAAAAGGGGTCAATCAGGGGTCCCACGCCATGTGGCGACAATCATCCTCACCAGAAACTCTGCTCTGTCTCGTCATTCAACCCCATTCAAGAACAAAAAAGAAAGACGGGTGCCTTTTGGAGTTCTGTCCTCTTGAGATTTTGGCACTGCTCCCGTACAATCATGTCGGGCTAGAAATTATAAGATGGTCCGAAAGATGACAACCAAGAATCCATTAGTCATAATTGGATCACGATCATCATCGGCCAATTATAAAATCGTGACAAGAATCTGCCGGCAACACTCTCAAAGATCTCCTCTTTTTATCTTGTGATGCGGCACTAGCACTTAAAACAAAAGACCTGCAATCATCTGCGGGATCTATCAATGTTCTGATTCCCGTCTAACTTCTGATGTAAATTGATGTTGCCAAATTTTATTTGCTGTTCCCTATGATCACACCCCCACAGAAATGGCAAACAAAATTCCCCTGATGTCGAAATTTTGACAACGTGATTTCCTGCATAACCGACGAATTTGGAAACTGATAATAGCATATGACTAGCTTTGCATCCAACAGCGCGACAACTGTAATTGAAGTTTGCGACTAACTGGTCGAGCGGAGAAGAATCTGCTCCGTGCTCGAATCAACTATCTAGCGCTAGAGTTTTGCAAGGCAGTCTCATGAAGAGCATATAGATCAAACTAATTTCTCAATCTTGTTTGGTCATACAACTGTAGAAGAATGCACTTTCTGTTAGTATCTAATAGAAAAATTATAACGTTAAAAGGAAATCTCTATCTTCATCGTTCTTCGGCAGGTACTACCATCCGACACCAACCATCTCTCATTTCGTAGTCTTCAAAGCCCTTCGGACGAGAATTAACCAGCAAAGCACGCGATAGAACACGAAGAAACCGAACATGATCCCCACATTGATCCATCTTGTGTCCTTATCGAGTCCTCTGCTCTTCAACACATCTTCCCCTGTGAGCAAGCACTTTTCGTCCTGATCGTGCTGAGAGAAGCACTCACTTCTCATGCTCCAGTACTCATTCGTGAGAAGCGCATCCAGGGGGTACCGATACAGCGAGACGTAGTACATGAAGAGCCAATACTTTGGGATGCTCTCTTTAGGGATGAAGTATCCTGAGAACAGGAAAAACGCTCCTAGGACAGTGCAGATCAGCGAGTTCCCGGAAATGAAGTCCGGCGACACAGCACTCAGGAAAAGCACCAGAGAGCTTGCCATCAGGACAATGACCCAGACGATGAATGTGAAGAATGCAAATGCGCCAATCGACGGATTGAGTCCAACGATCCAGTAAACGGGCACGGCGAAGAGAAAAGCCACGGCAAACAAGAAGGGAAGGAACACGATGGTGTTGGCAACCATGTAGGAGGAAATCCTGTAAGCTCCTCTCGATGACTCCTTCATCAGGACACGCCGTTCTTGGAGGTAAATCGGCAGGGCCTCGACCGTGGATGACAGCAGGAAGCTCAGACTGAACGCAAACAGTCCTAGCCTCTCCGTGACCCCTTCTTCGTTCTTTCTCACGTTTATGTACACGCTTCCTAGGCCGAACCCCGCGACGAGGGCCTGCATTGTCCTTGCCAATAGGAGTTGCTTGGTTCGGTATATAATCTTCCAAAACCTCGAGCAGAGGAAAACTATCTCAGAGAAATCGAGAAGATAGTGATTGTGCGCCTGTTTTTCATTTCTGTTTTCTCGAACACGTCTAATTTCGACTCCTGGCCATATTGGATAGGAGTATGGCAGGGTCTCCTTGTCTAATAAGGCTGGTGAATGGCCCTGGCGATAAGATGTTTCCAATGGGCTTAGAATCTCCATCGCGAACTCTAGCGCATTCAATTGGAGCGGGACCTGAAGTCCTAGCTTAGCGATCCTCTCCTCAAGCGATCCGATGCCGCCGCTATGGACAACCGACCCGTGATAGAGAATCAGGTAGTTGGAGATGAATTCCAGAATCCGATAGCTGGGTTGGTGGATGGATATGATGATGGTCCTTTGATGGGCTTTCGCCATCAAGGAGAGCAATTCAATCACGTGGAGTGCCGACTTGCTGTCTAGGCCCGAAGTCGGCTCGTCCAAGAGTAGGATCGGCGGGTCATGGATCATGTCAACTCCGATCGAGACCCGTTTCCTCTCCCCTCCCGATATCCCCCTGTTCTCTTCATCCCCGACGAAAGTGTCCGCCGCGTGGGTCAGCCCGAGCTCCTGCATCAAGCCCTCGACCCTCTCCTCTCTCTCCTTTTGGCTCATTCCTCTGAGCCTGAACTTGGCACTATACATCAGAGTCTCCTTCACAGTGAGAAGAGGGATCAGATTGTCCTCCTGAGCCACAAAGCCACATTTCCTTCTCAGCTGAGCGGGGCTAGTTACTCGGTCGTGATTGATGGAGATGCACTTGGGGTCAAAGTGCTGATCCTTGACCCGTCCCGCCAGGATCCGAATGAGGGTCGACTTCCCCGTGCCGCTCGGGCCCACAACAGCCAGGATCTCGGCGCTCCTCGCCACGAACGAGACCGAATTGAGTATGTTGATGGGCTTGGGATCGCGAAACAGGCCGAAGGAGGACCAGGGAGCGGCTAGGGAACCACGCGGCTGGATACGATAAGAGAGGTCTTTAACGGTTATGTCGTGGCGAGCCGGCTCGGACAGGCGGTGAGGAGGCCGGGGCGGGGAGTGCGAGAAGGAAGACGAGGAAGGGCTGGTCGACTCCTCCGGCGAGTTCGAGGTGGAGAAGAGGATGACCGAGTCATCCTCGAGGGCTCTTTGCTGGTGGAAGAAGCAACTGGTGGCCATCGAATTTGGAAGGTGGTTGGATTTGGCATCGTGGGACTTGACACTTTAGGCTTTAAAGGCGTGTTGGGATGGTTCAGAAATGGTGGATTGAAGGTGTGAAGGAGGTTGGACCAACCCAAACTGGCAAACTGGAGTGTGAGAGAAGGTTCTTCATGGTGAAGGTGGAGAGATGCTGAGGTTTGGCAGCAGTTGGGTAAGACAGTTTTGACATGAGCACATCCAAATTAGATTCATATCAGTAGAATAATCACAAGTGTAGAAACAGAAACTATGCGTGTAGGCATATACGTATTTTCTCCGTACCAGATAATTAGTATATGTTGCCAGAATGCAAAAGGGATGTAAACCATATTCATGACTATATTTCTTGTCAGTTGTTTGGCCAACCATATTAGTCCATCAGAATAGAAGCCATGCAGCAGTAATGTTTTCTTCTTCTTTTCTTCTTCTTTTTGGCCTCCTTATCAATTCACTAAATTTTTCGTTATATTCCAATTCGATCAGAACTGAAATTAACTAGCGATAATATTTTGATTTATCAGAATTAAATAATGTTGCAGGTGCATTAGCTTTCGTTGTTAGGAGAAATTACGATCATATTATGCTAATCCGAAACTCATTAATCCACTCATGCACTTTGATTAATTCGATTTGGGGTTGGGTTCCAGCATGTTGTGGCAGTGGACGTCAAATTGTTATTCCAAGGCATGGAGAATGGCTCTGCAATTTCATCAATCAACGTCGACGCTTGTGAAGGAAAAATGCACACTTCAAATTCAAGTGAAGAATAGTTGATCCTCTTAAAATCCAAGCCCACCCCTTTACCCTCCCCTCTCTCATTCTCGCTCCAGGTATCTAACTCGTTCCCCAACAGATTGATTCTACCGGAAGTCTGTAGAAAGCTGCGATCAATAGGATTTTCCTGCTCCTCCCTTTTCGAAAGGAAGAACGTGAAATTCTTTCTCCTTTCCTTAGGGACCAGGAAATTGGATCTAGCCGCAAGAAGAATGCTTAAATGATAAGTAACTCACTTTTTGGTCTTCGACCCCCTTAGTCGCTACGAACGCCCTCGATCAGTGCAATGGGATGTGTCTATTTATCTATCTCTTGATTCGAAATAGGAGCGGGTTTGAAAAAGGATCTTAGAGTGTCTAAGGTTGGGCCAGCAGGGTACGTCTCTTAACGCCTTCTTTTTTCTTCTCATTGGAGTTATTTCATGAAAGACTTGCCACGGTAAGGAAGAAGGGGGGAAACAAACACACCCAGAGAGAGCGTTGCATGCCGCGTTCGGGAGCACGCAAACAACGAGAGTCTTTGCCCCGCTTCTCTCTCTCCCTCCCTCTCCTCATTTACGAGTGGACATTATTAGCTACTCCCTCCTTACGTCGGCCCACTCCGCAAAGAATTGTTTAGATCACGCGGGGACCCCGCACGATCCGATGGGGCTCGCGCGAATGGGCCTAAAACCTGGGGCCGAGCCGGGCGCGTGCCCAAAAATGGCTAGTCCAGGTGGCGTGCCGAGGCCTCGACCCTCGGGTCCCGTAACTTTAGACTTCCTCTAGTTTCTCTATCCCCATGTCGACAGTAATCCAAACACGGCGCCCCACGTGGACTGCGACGTCGGCATTCGTGTCCCTCACATATTAACGGAAGGACTTAGCTTCTTGAATAAACAGATATTCCAATAAATTCAAGGTGGAATTATGTGTGTGTGTGTGTGTGTGAGTGTTTTGGAAAATTTTGCAGTGTCGTTATTGATTCTGTGTCGTCGAGGGACGGACCAAATTTCTTGAACAAGAAAACAAGAACCCTAAAAAACATCGTGGGCCCAATGCTGCAAACCAACCCAAGTCCAACAAAAGATTTTGTGGACTTAAAAGATCCGTGCCCCACTTTACAAAAAAACAAGAAAAAAAATCTCCGACCATATAAAAACAATACACGTGCACGGGCAATCCTCCGAACCCACACACGTCCGATTTCCCCAGTACGTTTTCCACGTGTCCTCCAGCCATGCATCGACAGGTGGCCCGACAGGTCCCGGGCAGCAGATTTCGCCACGTGCCCACGAGATTTTTCTTGAATGGAGATCGCGCGCGATTTCTTCGGGATTTGGAAAAAAAAAAATTAGCTCATTTCCACGAGAATTAATTATCTGAGATTCTTTCGACCAAAAAAAAAAAATTTGTCTAAAAGAATCAATTTCGTGGAACAAGGAATCGATCGTATTCATGAGCCAATAAGCAGTGACAATCAATGACAAGTCAAAAGCATTATTTCATAAGATATTTTCTAAAAACTAATCGCTTGAATATAATTTATAAAAAATAAATAAATAAAAAATATTTTTATTATTCATAAAATTTGATAGTAAAAATATTTATTATTGATTTCAAGCGATGCAATCAATTGTTTTTAAAGAAAACACTTTTCGAATCATTTGTTTTTCACAAAATAAAATAAGTTAAATACCTTGATGATTTTCGACCAAAAAAAAAAAGGTACCTTAACGAAACGATTACTAAAAAAGCTACCCAATGACGTCACTCTAATCCAATTTCCTCTGAAGAAAAGGGCATTTTTCTACACAAATTATGACATTAGTGAAATTTAGATTATGACAATTGCTATATTTAGCTCTTGGGCAGATAAAAAATGACCATCCAATAAAAAAATTCGTGGCTACGTCAATCGAGATGCCAAACTGCAATTTCCTGATCGATTTTTCTTTTACAAATCTAGTGCATCTTTTTAATTCCATAATGAGATTTCTTGATAATCATTCCTAATTCGAATTTTCCTGTCTTCGCGACTTTCGTTGAATCTAATTTCTCGAAAGAGAGAAACAACAGTGAAAAGAAAAAAGAAAAACGTGAAGAGGATAGATAGATATGATTTGGCTATTCTTATTAAATCGTCTATTTATGCGAATTTTTCAGTTATAAACAACACGAAGACAATCCACGTGCAGTCTCAAAATCGATGATATGATGTTGGATTTATTTCACTAATATATTGAGAACCGAATTAAAAATGCGATTAGTTTCAAAAAAATGAAAAAAGGTGAAAAAATCGAAGATATAAAACTTCTGGTGAAAAATTAACGCTACGGCTACTCGCTCGATGCGCGCGTGCGTGTCCGCCACTTCCCCACGCGCTCGTCTTCTGGTTAAAAGCCCATCCCAATCAGCCCATCAAACTCGCCTCCTCCTCTCTCTCTCTCGCGACATACACCAGTAAATGACCGATGTCGCGCCATCGACGGCAAGCCTCGCTAGTGCTCCCGCCCGAGGTAATCGCCGGAGATGACCCGGCCGCGCTCGCCGACGACCTCGGCCGGCCCACCGGCGGACGCGCGGCCGCCGCCGCCGCCGCGAGCGAGAAGTCCGTCGAGCCTGGGAAAGCCGAGGAGAATGCATCATCCGCCGCGGCCGCCGCCGAGGCCGGTTCTCGTCAAGCTTCGCTGAAGAAGCCGCCGGTCGCCGGGAAAGGCCCCTGAGAAGGCGGGAGGAGCGAGAAACGGAGCTTCCCGTTAGCTGGCGGTCGATAGTCTCCATCTGCTGTACGGATCAAGGCACGAGCGATGCTGCTGTTGTTGTTGTTCTTCTTCTTCTTCTTCACTTTGCGTCTATCTTCGAATAAAAAGTGCAATATCTCGGTTTGATTTTCTTTTGCCCGCTCTATTTAATTTAAATAAAGCATTTTCTAAACCTTTTATTTTTGTTAAGGTTTTTTTTCAAGATCAAAGTTCAAATTGCTTCGCTTTGCTCTTCACACCTTGGAGGGGATACGTAAAAATCAACGTTGGCTTTGTCATGGATGTGCCCGTGATATTGGAGAACTTTGCTCGTTGAGTTAACCTCAAGATTGAATCTCATGCTTCGTTTGATTCACTAAAAAAATAAAATATTTAAAAAATATTTTTCTAAAAACTGATCATTTATATTATTTAAAAAAAATAAATAAAATATATTTTCATCGTTCACGAAAATATTTAGATATAAATTGTTATCGATAATAAAAATATTTTTTATTGGCTAATTATTTTAAATTTTTATTTTTATAAAAAATAAATAATTTAGAAAATATCTAGAAACGATCACTCGTATGGCATGCAAAGTTAATGAAAATATCGAGACATTCTCGTTAACTGATTATTTCAATTGATACAAACGATAATTTTTAGGAAAATATTTTTCAAATCATCCATTTTCACAAAACAAGCAGAATGTTAGTGCCATCGATATTATATTAAAATTTCATGACGTGACATGGTTAAACATGAAAGGTTTATTTGTTCAAAATAATCGTCCAATCTAAAAATATAAAAATAAAAATGTTCATAAAACTTTTTTTTCTTTCAATACTTGTTTAGATCTTTTTCTTTTTCTTTTTCTTTTTTTTCTTTATTTTTTAGTTATTAGTTTGTGAAATTCAAGTTTTTTTAATATTGACTATCGAGCATCATAAATCTTCAAGATCATTTAGCCATCGTAGCAAAATTTGAGGTTAATAATACCAAAAATCTTAAAGTGATATACATGTGACAAATTTATTTCAAATTAATTTTTTGACGCCAAAAACTTCAAACCGGTATACTTGGGACAAATTTAACATCCGTTAGTTTTCATTAAATTTTACTGTCGAATTGCTGAGTTTGATGACAAGTGATAATTGATGAGTATACCGATTTGGGATTTTATCATCTGTTTATCATGTGTACCAATTTAAAGTTTTTCGTGGTATTAATCTAATTTAAAGGAAACTAACGGATGGTAAATTTGTCACAAATGTATCGGTTCGGATTTTTTGGTGGTCAAAATATTTATCATAAGTATATCAATTTGGGATTTTTTATAATCAAAAAATTAATTTTGGATAAATTTGTCAAAGACATACCAGTTCAGAGTTTTTTTATGGTATTAACCCCAATATTTTCACGGATTTGTTAAGTTGAAACAACTTTTATATTATTTTCCCACGGAAATTTAATTTACTAACTCTTTTTTCTTTAAAGAGCAACTAGCTAACTCTCGCCTTTTTCT